AATGTCAATCTCAACTCTGGCATGGTATCGAGGCACTACATTTTTAATGTTGCGATACTTGGCTGTCGTGTTGACGTTGCACTATGAGATCATGTCAAATAAAACCTACATCGGTGTCAACTTTTTGGCGTCAGGGCAGACAAGTTTTCTGCTGGTGACTATTTTTTTGGCTCGCCACATGCATTCAAGCATAAGGATAAGTCTTACGGGCATGCATATGGCAATAAATATAAAATTCTTATAAATTAAACTCACCATGTATCATTTTTATTAAAAACTTTATACAACAAGAGATGATCAATGAGATGAAAACTAAACTTTTTGTTATTAGAATTTTTTGTGGTTTAGGCATACTAGTAGAGAAATTCAATAAATTTAATTAAACCCAGATATCTATGTTAGAGTTGATAAACTCTATTCAACGTTAGATACACATTTTAAAGTGCAGCGGAATATTTTCCAAGTAAATTAAGACATTCTTAGTTTTTAACCACATCAAACACAAGTGCAAAAAGTAAAGAACACAATCATATACATAGTTCGACTAAATCCACTTTTAGTCTACATCTATGAGACCTGGTCCAGATCAAAGTAAATCCACTAATCAACCAACATTATAAGATATAGTTCAAAGTTGATATAAGATACAGTAAAAAAAACTCTCTGTTCAACTTTACATTTAGCACCACACTTTGAATCTCTGATGTCTTGTTGCACCATGAATTTCTTCACACGAGCTTTACTCCTGGAAAACGCTTGAGCTCCACCCAAGCTTCAGTCGCTGAAGACACTCTCTAGCATCAGGAAAGGAACCACGTTCCAGCCGCCATTCAACAGTGAAGATAGACAAAAAAGTTTCTAGCACAAACCCATATAAGAGAACCTAACTAAGAACAACTCTCTGAAATTTTCAGAGCACCAATGAAATAGATATTCAAGTTCAAAAAGAAAAACAAACAAAGAAGAAGATGAACTTCCTTTTAGCTCAACAAAGATGAAGGATGATAAGTGTTTTGCACAAAAACATATAGGGAACCTTTACGAAAAAAACTCTCTGAAAGTTTTAGAGCACAAGGCAAAAACAAACATAAAGGTTAGTTCACAAATGAGCAAGAACGAAAAAGATATAGACCAATTTCGTGCTCCCCAATTCTTGCCAAGTTAGCAAACAATGGCTGGCATATGTTGGTCCAAAAATGATAAAGATTTTATCTATCTTTTGGGACCACAACCAAAAAGGGGAAAATGTTGATTTTCTCTGGACCACTAAAGGATATTGGGACACCTGTAAATGGTCCTCATGACAGCACAAGAGATACAAAAAAAAATATCTCAATTGATAAAGATAAAAACGCAACTTATGAAAAATGAGTCAGACGTGCAATGTTAGCACAACAGAAAGGTGTGCGCACACACGAAGTAAAATGCAAGATAAAATGTAACATGCATATGTCTAACTTCAATGTGGACACACACAGCAGCTGTGCACACAGACAACATAAGTTCCACAAAAATATTCAACAATCTAAAACCACAAAAATTTACTACTGAAGGAATCATTACCATATCTTATAAATAATAAATTAGCATATTTTCTACTCGCCTCTATTTAAATTATTAAGCACTAAACTCCACTAAAAAGAGGCCACTCGTTCTCTAATTGAATAGACTCGATTCTACCGAGCCCCTAACCCGCAGCCTTGTTAAAAAATACAAGCAATTGTGGTGAATTAGGTTCAATTTGTATATCTTATAAATAATAAATTAGCATATTTTCTACTCGCCTCTATTTAAATTATTAAGCACTAAACTCCACTAAAAAGAGGCCACTCGTTCTCTAATTGAATAGACTCGATTCTACCGAGCCCCTAACCCGCAGCCTTGTTAAAAAATACAAGCAATTGTGGTGAATTAGGTTCAATTTGTATATCTTATAAATAATAAATTAGCATATTTTCTACTCGCCTCTATTTAAATTATTAAGCACTAAACTCCACTAAAAAGAGGCCACTCGTTCTCTAATTGAATAGACTCGATTCTACCGAGCCCCTAACCCGCAGCCTTGTTAAAAAATACAAGNTATATATATTTTTTTTTCTTTTTAATTAATTCTGTTTCTTTTAGACTATGGATTGGATTTTTTATTTCTAGATTATGCAATTTTCCAGGACCTCAAAGTAGAGTGCAATGAGAACTATGTGAATATAGATCCAGCCAATACAAAATGTGTAGCTGCTTATGAACTTTACGAAAAAGTAAGATGATTAGCAGTCCAGTTCCTATTAAACACAAATAATTTTCTTCAAGCTTCCCAGAAATGACTGATTAATTTTATTTTTAAAATTGCAGTGAGTTAAAGATTTATTTCGCAATGACAATTTGGAACCGAAATGTACTTTCGCATCGCCAGATGTGGACCAAAGAGAAATGCCTCGCAGAGCTCTACAAGAAAATCCTACGAATTTTATCCTTTCACCACCGAAAATTCCTGATTTACGGTGTCGGGTTCTCCTTATCATTCTTTAAATTGTTGCGCAATTAAATATCATCAACATTTTGACAAAATATTAAGAGGGTAAGAATAATTTTAAGGAAATATTTCATAATAGGTGATGAGGTGAAAATAATTGTTTCAAAGAGTTAGTAATGCTGGTGTTGATGGGTTTTATGCAGCAACCAAAAATTCTGGAGATTGGCTTGCCAAACCACAGTTGGAACTCCCGAACCTACAGGGCTGGTCTGTAATCTTTCTTCTTCCACTTTGTCATGGTTTTCAATTAGTGCTATTTTGATGGACTGCGATTGTACCGAAATTGGATGAAGCCTTTTCATTTTTGCCTGAATGGAAAGGACATGAATGGGAATATAAAAAAGTTTCACCTTGGGAGATGTCTTAATGACAAATTTTGTGTATATTATAAATCATAACAATTGTTTAAAATCTAATACTAAGATGGTGAGAACTTTTCATGTACCAATGTTGTCATGAATATGTTCAATAATGGTTATACTACACCTGGAAAGTACTGTATATTGTTAGAGGAATTTCACCGTGTGAAGATTATGGAATCTACAACATGTACAATGATTCAGCACAAAAACATCAAGACCATTAACATTTCAACCTATATTAGAAAAATCATCGAGTGATGAAAGGCTCAAAGATAACTAACAGACCAAATTTGGTTGTTTGTAACAAGAGGAAGCCCATAAAAAACTATCTCCAGTCAAATTAACAAATCACATGTGATGAACTCGAGTCAACTAAAACATGATTGCATTAAATTGCTTTCATATGGATAAGGAGAGCTATTGGAAAAGTATACTTATTTGTTTATAGTAAGTATCAACTATCCATTTAATTCAATCGATCTATCCGTAAAAGAAGTGCAACATAAATCGGTTAATTTATATTAAAAAACAAAAGGAAACAAACTTTTGGATAATAGCTTGATTTAGAAAAAATTGTTCCTCTTACAAAATTTTAAGGTATCATTTGTTAGCTAACTGATGTTTTTATTTAGAAAACATATTCCATCACTTTACTAGACATCACTAAATTAAAACATAATCAATAAAAACCAATGAATTTTTACTATTTTTTACCTAATTAGATGGAATTTTGTTTAATTTTTGCACAGACAAGATTCTTATAAGCACTCCAGTGAAATTTAATTCCTTTGAAACTTCCAAAATGGAAGGAATTCAATATTTCTTACGCACAGCTACTGTATTTCTTAGTCTGGTTACATTTTGCAAACTTAGTTATGCAGCTTCAAAATCTTCAGGATTCACCATCAGGCTCATCCCAAGTGATTCTCTGGAGTCTCCCTTATATGAAGGTAACCTTACTCAACATGAAAGAATTGAAAGAAATGTTAATATCACTCGGGCAAATGCTAAACGAACGAAATCGTATTCGTCCCGAAATGGATCATTCGATGATGATAAGCATTTCGCTACTCTAGCTCGTCAGCGTTACAGGTACGTTGCGCAACTTATGATCGGAAATCCAATTCAAACTCAGTATTTAGTTGTGGACACTGCTTCCTCCGTGATTTGGACACAGTGTGATCCTTGCATAGATTGTTTTCCCCAAATTTTTCCCATATACAATCCAGAAGCTTCCAGTTCTTACTATAGAGTTTCTTGCGACCACCCTCGTTGTTTTCACGAAGACGAAAACAGCGATTTCCGTTGTATCAATGATGAATGTGTGTATAGCATTACCTATGGCAGTGGCGATTTCCGTTCTGGCCCGACAGAAGGTTTTTTTTCCTCAGAAGCACTTCATCTTTTAAATAGCCAAACTGGCCAGACCGAAGAATTTAGACTTCTCTTTGGCTGCTCCAACAATAACATACATTTTGAGTTTGAAGATGAACCGGGTAACATCGTTTCCGGGATCATGGGTTTAGACTTAAATCCAAATTCACTAAACAACCAATTGTCAGATTACATCTATGATATTTTCAGCTATTGTATTGTTCCTTACCATCAAGATTACCCTTTTGATGTGCATCCTCTTTTGCTAAGGTTTGGGGAGGATGTTTATTTACCTTCAGGACGCATTCCAGCAACGAACTACTACACTTTAGAAGGAAGTGATTATTATTATGTTGAACTTGAAGATATAAGCGTCGGAGTTCGCCGATTACACATCCCACCAGATACCTTCAACGCTGCATCTAATTCCGATTTCTTCTTCGACACAGGAGCTCCATTCTCCATACTCACCACAAGGGCCGAAAATGGGCTCAATATTTTTGAATTGGTGGTGGAAAGATTCGCTCAACACTATAACAATCATGGTCTTATGAGATTACCAGCTTCTCGCCATCGTTCAGAGTTCGAATATTGTTACAGGAGCCAACGAAATTTCAGAGATTTTCCATCAATGACGTTCCATTTCCGAGGAGCAGACTACATAGTAGATGGCAGGTTTATGAAGATTCAATATCAAGGATTTTTCTGTGTGGCATTAATTGACCATCCATCAAATTCAATTCTGGGTGCATATCAAATGCAGAATATGCGCATCATTCATAATGGCATGATCAATGCAATACAGTTTTTCCCGGAAGACTGTGCTGATGATCATATTTAGGGGGTGATCGTCAGAGCTTATAAGCTTTAAAATTAAACTGATCTATTTGTTTTTAGGCCTATAAATAAGTTGGTGGGGAGGGTTTTTTTTTTTTTTTTTTGCAGCTTATAAGCACTGTGCTTATAAGACCAAGTATAATATCATATTATCCATATTTAGTGAGGGCTGAGAGCAAAAATAATATAGTATCATTTTTAGTCATTTTAATAATAAAATATACCTATAAACCACATTTTACCAAACGCGTCAACTACTTATCAGTCACTTATAAGTAATTTAACCAAACACGTAATTAAAATGTCGATATTATCTATTTAAATATTCATAATGGCATGATCAATGCAATCCAGTTCTTCCTGGCAGACTGTGCTAATGCAATGTAGATCGATGCTAGTTTCTTTCGAAAAATAATAATACATATGGATAAATTTATTGGACAAAGTCATTCATATGAACAAACTCATAAATTGATAGGCTAGAGACTCCAACTTAGAGTCTATATCGTCCAAAGGAGAAAACTCATAAATGCCACCATTCCTAGGCGGTTGCCCTATGATAGGAATCCTAGAAGCTAGATGGTTGTGCATAGGATACAGATTATCATCCATCCTACGTGCTTTCTATTTTCAAATCCAAGGGTACTAAAATTGGTTGATACGACTATCTACCAAGCATTCATCAACAAGTGTACCCAAGGTTCCACCAACAACCACAACACAAAATTCAAAGAAAAAGAACTAAAAGCAAATCCTAAAAAGCAAATTCAAAAGGCACACAAAACAAAAAAAAAAAAAAAAAAAGTTGAAAATGATAACACCCTAAAAAAAAATCAACACAATCAACAAACTAAAACTAACAGTCACACAAAAAGAAATTATTACTAAATTAAAAACTAAATCCTATGAATAAAAATAAAATATGCAAAACTAAAACAAACATGCAAACTAAATGAAAACGATACATGCAAACATCACGCAAATGATTAACAAGAACTAAAGCAAAAAAGATTAGAAAATATCACAATCGGGTCACGCTTAAACTTTGATGCACATGACACACTGCAACGTTTCCCCAATTGCGATCTTCCTGCAAAATAAAAACAAACACAAATGAAACTGTCCTAATGAAAATTAAAGTATTTACAAACCCAAATACACACAAAGTCAAAAGCACGTTGCTCCCCGGCAACGGTGCCAAAATTTTGTTAGACCGGNCAGGTAATTAAAATGTCGATATTATCTATTTAAATATTCATAATGGCATGATCAATGCAATCCAGTTCTTCCTGGCAGACTGTGCTAATGCAATGTAGATGGATGCTAGTTTCTTTTGAAAAATAATAATGCATATGGATAAATTTATTGGACAAAGTCATTCATATGAACAAACTCATTCACAAAGATTGACGTCTCATATCTTGATTAATTGGAATGACTTAAAAATAAAAATAAATTAAACTTTGTTATAATGACGTAAATTAAAAATAAAATAAAAGATCATATATCAAACATGCAAAGTTATTACATAAATTTATAAGAATAGTTTGTATATGTAACCTTACTTGTTTTAGATAGCTGATGATCTGTACAATTCAGGTCTGGGAGCCCTAGCCAAGTGATGAAATATTATTAAATGTTTTTATACTTTTAAAATTTTCAAAGAAATCTACTAATTAGAATGTTATTTAATTAAAACATTTAAAATATTATTATAAGTTTTATTGATATTTTAAAGTCAATTTTTTTGTTTTAAATAACTTCTTTTACCAGTAATCTATTGCATTTGAAAATTAAATTCAATCAAAGCTTAATAAATGCATGATTTCTTTCTAAACAAATCTGTTATAAACTTCAAAAATCTCATCAAAATATTACTAATATGTATAATAAAAACTATTAATAGAAGCTGGTTTAATATAAGGATTTAGTATTTAATTTTATTATATTTTTTAAAGTTAGTATGAATAATATTTCTACTAGAATCTGTAGATGGTAAAATCTACGGTTAATTCGAAAGGGACGGATCTTGAGAGAAACAAGTCACTAACAATCTAATGGACTTGCACAAAGAGAAAGAACGAACGTGAATGCTCGAGGGACACTAGTGTGGTGTCCACCGTAAGCACTCCGACGTTCAAGTCAGCATAGTTGAATGTATTTAGTGAGGGTTGAGAGCAAGAAAGGGTTTACCGTAAGTGGCTAGGGCTAGACTAACACAAAATGACCGAAGTACAGTTTTGCGGTGGTTAGGTGGTAAAGTTAGCCGGAACTAAGCTTTATGGCAAGTAAAACGAAGATTCTTGGGGCAAGAATTTAGGGGCTAAAGCTATGGGTTATTTTTGAATGCCTAATGAGAGGATTGACCTCTGTTTATATAGGAGTTCAAGGGAGCTTGAGTCTTAGTAGAACTTTGAATTCTATTTGGTAAAGGAGTTCGCATTAGGAAGGAAGTCTTGTGACTTGCCTTTAATCGGATTAGGATTACCAATTCGAGTAAGTTCTTGGATCTTGACTGAAGTGGAAAGTAAATAGGATTCTATTTCCTATTTTGGGACGAATGTAGGCTAATAGACTGGAGCCCGATTTAGGAAGAAGAAGATGTAGACGAAGCTAAGAAGAAGAGAAAAAGATGCAGAGGTAGAGATGCGTTAATGGCGGGAAGGTGTTTGGGTTTGTTTGCAACAATTTCAGGTTTGTGGGAATATAGTATAATTTTGAAAAGATTATATAATACTTCATTAATCCTAATTAAGCATTAATTACCCTTAATCAATAATATGGCTATTTAGTTAACACTTTAAAACTTGATAGCCTTTTAATTAAATGCAAACTTGAGATGTCCTTTGAGTAAACTGCCCCGTGGAGAGATGGCAAACAGAGCAATAGAAGAAGGGGGATCTTCTTACATTAACATTACGTTTTTAATGCAAGAAATCATGCAACAAGCGCATTGTGGTCCTAACATTTAGAAGAGATGTTACTCTATTTCATATGTAGTACTTTTGTTCGTATAACACTGCTTAATTACTTTTAAGTTTTCATTATAAATGATCTTTCAATATTAGGTTTATACGTACGTGTAGCAAGCTTTGGTACAAAACATAATAGATTAGCCTATTTGGTGGAATGGCTCAGGCTTCTAATCCCTCCTAATAAAGCCTCAAACCCCATTAATAATTCAATATAAGACCCCGCAGACATAATATGTCCAAATGCTCTGCTATAACGGCAAAGTTCTGTCTTGCTCTTGTGATCTACGGTTGAAATTCAAGTAACTACATTTTACTTAATTTAATTTGAAGAGGCCAATCAGATCAATTAAACCAATAATAATAAAATCTCTCAGCCAATTGTAGCCAATTGTAAGGAGATACCCTTAATTGTAGGTTATAAAATCAATCGCAATTCGTAGACGACCATACAAACTTTTGCTATCAGAAGCTTCGCATTACTCCGGCTACATAAACATTAGGAATGAAAGCAAACATTTTGTCTTGTACTTCATAACTATATTTTCAATCTGAGTAGGTCTAATTCATCGGCCATTGGCTTACACATATAATTAATAATTGCACTTACATACAAATTATCTGCATACTTCCAAGGGATGATTGATATGGAGAAAAGTCAACAATAGGTTCCGCAATGTAACTTGCTGGGGTCCAAGTGAACAATATGTCAAATTTCTGAAGAGATTTTTGGTGTAGAAGGATTGTCTCTAAAATTCTAAAACATCTATGGTAAGATAGGGGTGCCATGTCAGCCGTACCATCAGTCAATATATTATTATCACATAAATATTTAAATTGATAAGTATCAATCACTTTAGTAATAAATATTCAAGAGAGAAAAAATATTTATAAGTGGTATTGTATACGGTAAAATCTACGATTAAGTTGAGAGGGACAGATCTTGTGTGAAGCGAGCCACTGACAATCTGGTGGGCCTGCACAAAGAGCAAAAGGAAATGTGAAAGCTTAGGTGACATTGGTGTGGTGTCTGCCATAGGCACTCAAACGCTCAAGTCAGCAAGGCTGAGGGTATTTAGTGAACTTTAAGGATGGGAAGGATTACCAGAATAATGTGGCGGTTCGTGGGAGCAAGAAATTTGAGGGCTTAGGTGTTGTGGGTGATTTCTCAATGAATAATGAGGGGGCTTTTCTCTGCTTATATAGTGAACCTTAGAGGTTCGAATCCTAAATGGACTCTGAATCCTACTAGGTAGTGGAGTTGTAATTAGGAAGAAGTTAGGATCTCTTTCCTTTATAAGGTTAAGCTTAACATTCTAAATGAGATCTAGGATCTTGACAAAAGTGGAAACAAAATAGGATTTTGTTTCCTATTTATGGATTGTTGTGGGCTAGTGGGCTTGACCCAACTTAGCTTAACTTGTAGGATAGCCCCTTATAGAGAGAGTAGTTCACAAGGTGGATTTAAGCATAGGCCCAACCAGAATTGGGCTAAGGCATAAGGCTGTGAAATGTTGATTTTGTTATTGGGCCTTGTTAGGCCTAATATGACTTTTGGCCCATACAGTTTGTCCCCCACTCTCTAATTAAAAGGGTATTTAGCTTAGAGAGTAGATTTAGTTAATCAGAGATGTTTTACCATATCTTCGTAGTGTATGGAGGTGAGTCGGCTCGACCCGTCAACAATCGTGATTTGGTCATGCCAAAAACATTTCTGAGCAGAGGTCAGCAGCGAAAGGATGTGTATGTGAGCCCACTCGGCTTGGTTCGTTGGGATGAGTTGTGAATGCAGAGCCGAATAGTTTATGGGGACTATTTTAAACACCACACGTGATACGAAACTCTCGTGGGTCTGTTCAGCTCGGAGTGGTAAGTTGACTGAAGGATGATAGCTGCATGGATCATTACGATTCGCTAGAATCCATTCTTGGGAAATACAGAACATGTATTGAGTGGCATGGAGAATGGACATACAAGTCCCTAGGGTCTGAGTGTTGACACTTCGAGGGCGTCGATGGGGCAGTGCCGAGAG